TCTCACCACATCTATTCAACACTGACTGCAATAAGGCAAGAAAAGGAAATCAAAGGTATCAAGACTCAGGGGTTGGGGGAAATAGTAAAACTCTATTAACAGATGACATAATTCTCTATATAGAAAATCCCAGGCCAGGTGCAGTGGCTCACGCCTGTAATCCCAGCGCTCTGGGAGGTGCAGGCAGGCGGATCACGAGGTCAGGAGATGCAGACCATCCTGGCTAACACGGTGAAACCCCGTCTCTACTAAAAACACAAAAAATTAGCCAGGCGTGGTGGCATGCTCCTGTAGTCCCAACTACTCGGGAGGCTGAGGCAGGAGAATCGCTTGAACCCAGGAGGTGGAGGTTGCAGCAAGCCGAGATCATGCCACTGCACCCCAGCCTGGGCAACAGAGCAAAATTCTGACTCAAAAAAAATAAAATAAAATAAAATAAAATAAAACAAAAATTAGAAAATCCCACTGAGTATAGGAGAAAGTTACTAGAACAAATAGGTGAGTTTGGTAAAGTTGTAGCCTACAAGTTTGATATACAAAATCAGTTGTATTTCTATATGTCAGCAATAAACAATCAAATTAAATTTTAAAATTATAATTTATAATAGCATCAAAAATATGGAATACCTAAGGGAAAATCTGACAAAAAGTAAGCAAGACCTGTTTATTAAAAACTATAAAATATTGTGGAGTGCAATTTAAGAAGACCTAATTAGAAAGAAATATCATTTTTATGGACTGGAAAACTCAATATTGTGAAGATGTCAGTTTTCTCCAAATTGGTCTATAGATTCAATGCAATTGCCATTAATACGCCAGTAAGATTTTATGCAGAAATTGACAAACATTTTAAAATTTATATGAAAATGCAAATTATATAGTATAAACAAAACAACTTTACATATGGAAAGATTTTCAAAATCATTATTAATTAAGGAATTAGAAATTAAGAACAGCTGGGTGCGGTGGCTTATGCCTGTAATCCCAGCACGTTGGGAGGCCAAGGTAGGCAGATACCCTGAGGTCAGGAGTTCGAGACCAGCCTGGCCAACATAGTGAAACCCAATCTCTACTAAAAATACAAAAATTAGTCAGACATGGTAGTGGGTGCCTGTAATCCCAGCTACTTGGGAGGCTGAGGCAGGAGAATCACTTGAACCCAGGAGGCGGAGGTTCCAGTGAGCTGAGATCATGCCACTGCACTCCAGCCTGGGCAACAGAGCAAGACTCTGTCTCAAAAAAATAAATAAATAAGACCACAATGAGATGCTGTATTAGTCTGTTCTCACACTCACTGTTATGAAGAAATACCCGAGACTGGGTAATTTATAAAAGAAAGAGGTTTAATTGACTCACAGTTCTGCATTGCTGGGGAGGCCTCAGGAAATTTATAATCACAGCGAAGGCAAAGGAGAAGCAGGCACCTTCTTCACAGAGTGGCAGGACGGAGTGAGTGTAAGCAGGGGAAATGCCAAATGCTTATGAAACTGTCAGATCTCGTGAGACTCACTCAGTATCATGAGAAAAGCCTGGGGGAAACCACGCCCATGATCTGATTACGTCCACCTGGTCCCACGCTTGACACGTGGGGATTATAATTCAAGATGAGATTTTGGGTGAGAACACAGATAAACCACATCATTCTGCCCCTGGCCTCTCCAAAACCTCATGTTCTCACTTTTCAAAAGACAATCATGCCTTTCCAACAGTCCCCTGAATCTTAACTCATTCCAGCGTTAATTAAAAAGCCCGAGTCCAAAGTCTCATCTGAGACAAGGCAAGTCACTTCTGCCCACGAACCTGTAAAATTGAAAGCAAGTTAGTTATTTCCTAGATGCAATGAGGGTACCGGCATTGGGTAAATACACCCGTTCCAAATGGGAGAAATTGTCCAAAACAAAGGCGCTACAGACCCCATGCAAGTCTGAAATCCAATAGGGCAGTCATTGTACCTTAAAGTTCCAAAATAATCTCCTTTGACTCCATGTCTCACATCCAGGCCATGCTGATGCAAGAGGTGGGCCCCCACAGCCTTGAACAGATCACCGTACAATTACTAGAATGACTAAAATAAAAAGACTGACTATACCAAGTACTGGTGAGGATATGAAGGAACTGAAACCCTTATACATTGAGAATGGAAAATGATACAACCACTCTGGAAAACAGATCCTAATATGTTAAAGACTTTCCTAATATGTTAAAGTCATAGAATACCCCCTACCTCTGTGGGAAACCATACCTGCCATGCAATTCAGCCAATCTACTCCTAGGTATTTTTTCCCATAAGACCAAAAATCATATCTGCACACAAAGACTTGTACATGAATGTTCATAGCATCCTCATTTGTGATAGTCAAAACTGGAAACAAATCAAATGTCTGAATGGATAAACTGTGGTTTACTCATGCAATGGAATACTACTCAGCAATAAAAGGAGTAAACTGGTGAAACATGTTACATGGCTGAATCTCAAATAATGCCAATGACTTATAGAAACCAGATAAAAAAGAGTACCTACTCTGTGGCTACACTTATATAAAATTCTGGAGAATGCAAACTCATGTATAGTTATATCTACAAAATAGATCAGAGGTCTTCTAGGGATGGAGGGAGAAGACAAGGAGAGGCAGGAGGGAGGGATTCCTAAGGGACATGAAGAATGTTTGGGGGTAGTAGAAATGTTCACTTTCTTGATTGTGATGAAGGTTTCATGAGTATATACATGTCAAAATGATCAAATTACATACTTTAGACACTGGAAGTTTGTTGTTTGTTAATTATATCTCAATAAAGCTGTTAAAAAAAAATAAGAACTTGGCTGGGCATGGTGGGTCATGCCTGTAATCCCAGCACTTTGGAGAAAATATAATGGGAGTTGAAATCACATAGGGTCTTGCAGGTCTTTGAAAGAAAGCCATTCAGAAACTTTGATCACAGGATGATAAGAGAAATGCAGATTAAAACAACAGTATGAGGGAGGCTGTGGCAGGCAGATCATTGAGGTCAGGAATTGGAGACCAGCCTGGTCAACATGGCAGAACCCCGTCTTTACTAAAAGTACAAAAATTAGCCTGGCATGGTAGCGCGCACCTGTGGTCCCAGCTACTCAGGAGGCTGAGGCAACAGAATCGCTCAAATCCAGGAGGCGGAGGTTGCCGTGAGCTGAGATCTCACCACTGCACTCCAGCCTGGGTGACAGAGTGAGATGCTGTCTCAAAAAAAAGAAGAAGGAGAGGGAGAGGGAGAGGGAGAGGAAGAGGGAGAGGGTGAGAGAGGGAGAAGAAGAAAGAAGAAGAAAAGTTCAGATATATTTCTTAATGGATATGGCCTGGATTTATCCCTTGACAAGAGTGGCTGGCTGTGGGCACTGGGCCAGGGACTCGCTGGACACCATGGACTGCACCCACCTAGCTTCTCCCCTGTGATGAGTCCTTCCCCTTCAAGGCTTTTTTTTTTTTTTAAACAGCCCATCTCCATTCCCACCACCACCACCATCTCAGATATGAGATCAGGCCCTGTGAATTGGGGTAGGGGTAATCTAGATTTTCCTGCTTTTCTGTAGCATGAGCGAAAAAAGGTGTTTCTCAAGCTCTTAAGTTTAGAAAGGGTCAGGGATCTCTGCAATTATCAGGACATGTAGAGAAACCATTCATAAAATTAAGAACATAGATTTTTATGCTTAGAAGGAACTAGAAAAGACATTCTTTATTCTATATAGAAATCCATCCTATTTAATCACTTAGGCCCTGCTTGAAAAATGAGTTATAGAATACCGCCTCCCTCTCTGGGAAACCATTCCATAGTAAAAGAGTTCTGCCTGTTAGAACATACTAATCTAAAATTAATTTGGAGACCAGGCGCAGTGGCCCATGCCTATAAATCCAGCACTTTGGGAGGCCAAGGAGGGAGGATCACTTGAACCCAGGAGTTTGAGACTAGCCTGGGCAACATAGTAAGACCTGTCTCTACAAAAAAAAAAAAAATTAAAAAATATTCGGGCAAGGTGGTAAATACCTGTGCGTCCCAGCTACCCAGGATGCTGAGGTGGGAGGATTGCTTGAGCTCAGGAGATTGAGGCTGCAATAAGCTGTGATTGCACCACCTCACCCTAGCCTGGGCTACACAGTGAGATCCTGTCTCAAAAAAATAAAAACATAAAACAAAATTAATTTGAAAATAGCAGGGTTTTTTTGTTTTTTTGTGTTTTTTTTTTGAGACAGACTCTCACTCTGTTGCCCAGGCTGGAGTGCAGTGGCACGATCTTGGCTCACTGCAACTTCCGCCTCCTGGGTTTAAGTGATTGTCCTCCCTCAGCCTCCTGAGCAGCTTGGATTACAGGCACCCGCCACTACGCCCAGCTAGGGAATTATTTTTTAATGACATTGGGTAGCATCCCGCTTTGAGTCTTATAAATGATCTCCCTCAAACTTCCGCAGCAAGTGACTTCTTGGGCAAGTCACTTTCCCTGGTGGGCACAAATGTGAGAGAGGGATTTGGCTTATAGATTGATATGTGTTCATTATCGTTTATTTCCACAAACCTTCACTGACAGCATGCTTTGTGCCTTGGGGGCTCGAAAATGAAAGACACGTTCCCTACTCTGAGGAATTTCACAGCCCAGTGCAGGGAGACACACAGATAAGCAGACCATTCAAAAGCAGGTTTATGCTAGAATGAAAGGGACTGTGAAGAAAGGCTGAGCCCTAACGAGAGATCGAGAGATCGGGGAAAGCTAGGGAAGATGTCCCAGTGTGAATCTTCCCGCTCCATTGCCCCAAACACCTCCTCAAAGCCTGTGACTTGTAACCCTCCGCATGCCCTCCCAGTGCCTGGATCAAATGCTCAGCCTGTGTGCCACACAATAGACTGATGTTATGCATCGATAAACTCTTAGACATCCGGCTGGTTCTGTGCCCATCCCTCTGCCCCCACTGCAGAGAGGCCAATAAAACTCTTGCTCAGACTTACACTGCACACAGCATTCTGAACTTCTGGATCTACCATCTCCTGTTTCCCAAGCACCATGAAACTCCTGCTGTTGGCTCTTCCTATCCTTGTGCTCCTACCCCAAGTGATCCCAGGTAATCAGAGGTCAGGGAAGCTACGAAAATAGAGGTATAGTGGGTTCTGGATCGTGAAAATTCCAGTGTGTCGCTGCACCCCCAACCTGGGCAGCTCCACAGCTCCCACACTGGGACTATGTTCCTGACTGGGGTAAAACCTGGGAGTAGAGCAAGTTTTCCTCAATAGACAGGGGCAGTCCCACTATCCAGAGTTGTCCCTGGTTCTATACTCCAAGTTGCCGCCTAAGGAACTAGGGGAAAGCTAGGCTCACATCTCTTCTCTTTCCAGCTTGTGCCAGCTTTTGAAAATGATTCCCGCAGCCCACTTTGCATGTTTTCTTGGCCCTAAAAGTCCTGCTATCGCTGTAATGAGGTTCTTTTTGTTTCTAATGTTCTAGAATTTGGTGAACAGGTCAGAAATGATCGGCTGAGCTGTTATATGGAAGACAGAACTGGCTTTTCTTCCTTCTACAGTGAAAATCTAAGCTTTTCATAATCACTGCTTTCTTAAGTATATCTAAAGGCCTGACCAGAACTTTGAAATCACTGGTGAAGCAAGCCTGTTTCCTCTTTGTTTTATGTTTTTCAAGGTGCATTTCAATGTGTGATTGAACTTACATAAAAATGAATCTAAGTATTTCTGTTTTATAACAAAGTAAGCATACTCCATGCATGGCTACGCAGCTCTCTTTCTTTCTTTTTTTTTTTTTTAAAAAAAAAGATGAAATCTCGATCTGTCACCCAGGCTGGAGTGCAGTGGCGCAATCTCAGCTCACTGCAACCTCTGCCTCCTGGGTTCAAGCAATTCTCCTGCCTCAGTCTTGCAAGTAGCTGGGATTACAGGTGTGCACCATCATGTCCGACTAATTTTTGTATTTTTAGTAGAGACGGGGTTTCACCATGTCGGCCAGGCTGGTCTCAAACTCCTGACCTCAGGTGATCCACCCGCCTCAGCCTCCCAAAGTGCTGGGATTACAGGCATGAGTCACCGCGCCCGGCCCTGTGCAGCGGTCTTCTTTCACTTCTTATTCTGTGGCCATCTTTCCATGTCATCATCTAAAGATCTGCCTTATTGTTTGTAAAGTTGTATACTTCTGCTGTAGGATAAGCCTTATAAAATCATATACAGTCATTTGAGACATTTCTTAATTTTCTAACAACACATCAATGAATATGCTTGTACAAACATTAATATATTTACATATTTGGGCAGGGGCTTAAATAGGATAGATTCCTAGAGGGCAAATAACCAAGTTAAATGTAAGTCTGGTGGTGGTGGGCAAGAAAATAAAAAAAAAATATTCCATTAATTCCTCTATTCCTCTACCCTCATTGCAGAGAGGCCAGTAACTCTTGCTCAGACTCCCACTGCACATGGCATTCTGAACGCCTGGGTCTACCCTGGCATTCAGGGTAGGGAAACAGGGAAACCTCTCCTGTTTCCCAGGGACCAGGAACCTCCTGCTGCTGGCTCTTCCTGTGCTTGTGTTCCTACACCACAATCCTGGGTAATCAGAAGTCAGTAATCAGAAGTTGTGTATCTTAAAGGATACTGCCAGCAGAAATTGCCAACTCTGGGGGTTTTGAATAATTCTCCAGTTACAATTCCAGACACAAACAGGAATAATTCTGTGTGATCTCTTTGAAAGCAATTGGTCTGCTTTGAGTTCTAGTGGAGATACTGAGACTAGGAAAGAGACAGATGTGAAAGATTTTGTACATGCAATCCACGAGTCATAAAAACTCAGCATATGGGGAGTGAAGGATATATTACAGGATCTAGGGCTTCAAGTCTGAGTGCTAAGAGCTATAAATTTGGAGTCATTCTCTTGGAGCAAAGAGTTGAGACAATGAAAGAAGCATAAAGTCTTGATGCTTTATCTTAAACAGCCCCTACATTTGAGGAAGAATAATAGAAATCAGTGACATTTATAGGGACAGGGAGATCTCCCTACCCTCTCATCGAAAATACACAAGGGTTTTTCTATCACCATAGTCCTTCAAACACCCAGCTGATGAATATAAAATAATCTCTTACTGTCGTGGTTGTTTTTTTGTATTTGTTCGTGTTTTGAAACAGAGTCTCGGTCTGTTGCCCAGGCTGGTGTGCAGTGGCATGATCTCGGCTTGCTGAAACCTCTGCCTCGGGGGTTCAAGTGATCCCCCTGCTTCAGCCTCCTGAGTAGCTGGAATTACAGGCATGCACAACCACGCCTGGCTAATTTTTGTATTTTTAGTAGAGATGGGTTTTCAGCACGTTGGCTAGGCTGGTTTCAAACTCCTGACCTCAAATGATCCACTCGCCTCAGTCTCCCTCGTACTGTTGTTTTAATCTGCATTTCTCTTATCATCCTGTGATCAAAAGTTCTGAATGGCTTTCTTTCAAAGACCTGCAAGATTCTATGTGAAATCAACTCCCATTATATTTTCTCCAGTTACTCTCCACTTAACTTACTCTATACTCACCATAACTACCTTATTGTTTTTCAGAACCTTTGAGACAGGTCCTGCCTCTAAGCCTTTGCACTTGCTGCTTCCTCTGCCTGATATATACTCTGCCCCCAGTTAGTCTCATAGCTCACCCTGCCTCTTCCTTCTCAAAACTCAAGGTAAATCTTTCACTATTTCCCATCACACACTTCCTAAACCCCTTCGCTGCTTCATTTCTCTCCATAATGCTTATCATTCTTTTTGTATTTTCATAATGCTTATATTATGTATCCACATAAAATATGTTATACTTTCTTCTCTTATTATCTTTTTTTTTTCCTTTTTTTTTTTTTCTTTTTTGAGACAGTCTCACTCTGTTGCCCAGGCTGAAGTGCAATGGCACAATCTCAACTCACCAAAGCCTCTGCGTCCCAGGTTCAAGTATTCCTCCTATCTCAGCCTCCTGAGTTAGCTGGGAAAATAGGCATATGCCACCACGTGTGGCTAATTTTTGTATTTTTGGACACATGCTTATTTTATACTTTGGGTTATAATTTTTTATTTTTTAAATTTCAATAGCTTTAGGGGTACAAGTGGATTTTGGTTACATGGATGAATTGTATAGTAGTGAAGCCTAAGATTTTAGTGCACCCATCACTGCAGTAGTGTATATTGTACCCAATAGGTAGTTCTTCATCCCTCCCCCTCCCCTTACTCTTCCCCCTTCTGAGACTCCAATGTCCCCTCTGTATGCCCTTGTGTACCCATAGCTTAGCTCCCACTTATAAGTGAGAACATGTGGTATTCGTTTTTCAATTCCTAAGTTACTTAAAATAATGACCTCCAGTTCCATCCAAGTTGCTGCAAAAGACATTATTTTGTTCCTTTTTATGGATGAGTAGTATTCCATGGTGTATATGTTCCACATTTTCTTTATTCATTCATCGGTTGATGGGCACTTAGGTTGATTCCATATCTTTGCAGTTGTGAATTGTGTTGCAATAAACATACACTACACAGATATATTTTATATACTCATGTGAAGGTATACTTTGCAGTAGAATGGGATATGACCAATGCAAATAACTTAATCACACTTGTTGAAGTAGCAGCAAGATGTACTTGTTGAAGTAACAAGAAGACGTACTTTCTGGCCGGGAGCAGTGGCTCACGCCTGCAATCCCAGCACTTTGGGAGGCTGAAGCTGGTAGATCATGAGGTCAAGAGATCAAGACCATCCTGACCAACATGATGAAACCCCATCTCTACTAAAAATACAAAAATTAGCGGGGTGTGGTGGCACGTGCCTGTAGTCCCAGCTACTCAGGAGGCTGAGGCAAGATAATTGCTTGAACCAGGGAGGTGGAGGTTGCAGTGAGCCGGGATCACACCACTGCACTCCAGCCTGGTGACAGAGTGAGACTCCATCTCAAAAAAAAAAAGAAAGAAAAGAAAAAAAAAAGATGTACTTTCTTTACTCAGGTACCTTTACACTGAAGGTAGCTTCATTATAAGCAGCCCCAATTCCTCATGACTGGAGTTTCTTTTCGATGATGGTAAGATTCATCCCACTTTCAGAATAGTTAAAAACGGGCAAATGGGAGGTTGAGTATTTACCAGACCTGAGGTGGGAGTCTTGCAGCCGTCATCTAATTATGATCCACAGTGTGGATACAGGATGCCAGATATATAGTCATGCTAGTGAAATTGAGAGCATCAGTAACCCAAAATCAGTGGTTTTTCCTTTTATTATTCAGCCTATGGTGGTGAAAAAAAATGCTGGAACAGATCAGGGCACTGCAGGAAACAATGCAAAGATGGAGAAGCAGTGAAAGAAACATGCAAAAATCATCGAGCCTGCTGCGTTCCATCTAATGAAGACCACAGGCGACTTCCTACGACATCTCCCACACCCTTGAGTGACTCAACACCAGGAATTATTGATAATATTTTAACAATAAGGTTCACTACAGACTACTTTGAAATAAGCAGCAAGAAAGACATGGTTGAAGAGTCTGAGGCGGGACAGGGAACTCAGACCTCTCCCCCAAATGTTCACCATACCTCATGACTTCTTCTCGAATGTCACTCACCCCTGTCCTCAGAGTGATAAACTAAGTCACATACATATAGATAAAACACCACAGTGACCTCCCACTTCCCACCAATATGTAATTCTATTAATAGAAACAGCTGTGTAAAGAAGTCTAAAATTTTCACTATTTCCAATGATAAACTCTTCAGTGCTCTTCTTGAAATGTCAAATTATTTCCACAAGTTTTAATCTATTTTTAGTATTTCTTGTTTGCTGGTGACCTATGCACAACCTCAATAGCTTAGTTAGCTATTCCAACAACAATTTTTTCATGTGTTTTTCTGCCTTCTCAACAGGTGTCTTAATGGCAGCATAAGTGGTCATGATCAAAATTCTAAATCTTTGCATCTGTGAGAGTAGCTACTAGGACACTAAAAGCTTTTTTTCTAGAACAGGAGACACTTCAGGTGAAAGCATTCATTTTCCTACTAACCATGGCCTTAGAGGAAGGTTTTATCTGTCACCGTATCACTGTAGGAAATTGACTGTCCCAAGTGTGAGCTATGAAGACTCCTTTTTGCCCCAGTGTCTTTCGGGTTGAAATAGAAGCTGTCGAAAAGCTTCTATGGCTCTGTAGACCCATCTCTTTGACCAAGCCTTGATCACACATGGACATCCAAGGGTAAGGATGGCCCCTCAATTGTGGGTGAAAGGATGGGTCATTTGTCCACCTGATTACTGAGACTGAGAGCTTTACTTGTCTCCCTGTGACAGAAAAAAAAAAAAATCTTCACATCCTGTCCCATCCACATAACTCTACAACAAACTTCATTGTTACAAATTTTCCAGTCTTGCTGTTCCCAAGAACCTAAACAACCAGCCAGTCCATTACCAGCATTCATGAATTACTGTAGATCCATACCTAGGCAAGCCTTCCTTCTGCTGGAAGGATTTCCCTTAACCACTGTCTTTTGGGCCACTGCCACATCAGGCTGTAATGCAGCACTTCTGTCTGGTGCTAGCATGTCATGCAGACCATTCCACAAACCTGGCCTTGCTTTTTCCTCCTTTATTAACTAACCATAGGAACCCCTCATGATACTATTAGTGTGTGATGAAGAAGAGGCAATAAAGCAGGAATGGGTGATATAGGCATCTGAACCACCTGCTTCTGCAGTTTATGCTTGCCAGACCTGCTAAGTTCCAGTTTTGAACATATTACTTTCATCTAACATTGGAAATTCTTCACAGGTCTAATTATATTACTCAAAGGGTTAGATAATACCTAATTCATGATGGGAAATTTGGGTCTCATTATTTTTTTAAGCTTGTTATTCCTGATAATTCTGAAATTTGAAGTCTTTGAAAGTCTGAATCTCTAGACTGTGATTTCTGCTGACCTTAATTCATGGTGCCTTAGTTCCTTGTGTATTTTGTGATTTGGGGCTCTGGTCTGTTCATTTTCCTCAGAAGTTTAGTTGACTAAACTAGTTGAGTCCTGAGTTAAAGGTCTACTCCTTAGTTTTCTTCTGTCTTTTTAGCACTACTAGTCTGGGACAACTTTAAGCTTGATTTTTTTTCATATGACCCATGTACTGTGAATTCAGGCTGAGAGACTATATGAGATGTACCTTGAGGTTATAAATTCTCAGTGAAGACTTTTTTTCTATTTACTGAATACTTAGGTTCAAAATCAGGCAATTTTCCTTGAAAATCTCTGGTGAAGGAAAAGGGATGTTGTATCTGCTTTATTTTTATACAGCATATGTAACACTTTAAGGACTGAGATTTATATAGGGATCTCCTACGAGACTCATATTTTTTCAGACCCTAGTCACTGCCTTCTCTCCCCTGCTTACCCCCACCTTGGCCAAAGCCATGGAAACCAAAGCTCAAGTTCACCTGATTCAGCAAGTGTCTTTGTGACAAAAGTCAGCTTCAGTCACTGCCTTCGAAAGAGTGCCCACTTGCATTTGGTTTTAATATTCTTTCTTTTCTTTCTTTTTTTTTTTTTGAGACAGAGTCTCGCTCTGTCGCCCAGGCTAGAGTGCAATGGCATGATCTCAGCTCACAGCAACCTCCACCTTCTGGGTTCAAGAGATTCTACTGCCTCAGCCTCCTGAGTAGCTGGGATTACAGGTGCGTGCCATCACGCCCAGCTAATTTTGGTATTTTTAGTAGAGACGGGATTTCACCATGTTGGTCAGGCTGGTCTCGAACTCTTGACCTCATGATCCACCCACCTCGGCCTCCCAAAGTGCTGGGATTACAGGCGTGAGCCACTGCGCCCGGCTGGTTTTAATATTCTTGGCCTTACTTTCTTGCAAGGTTAAAGATGTTTTAAAAGTTTTGTTGTATATTTTAAGTACATTTTTTCCGCTGTTTTCAGTGGGAGGATCAGCCTGGGTTCTTCAACCAGTATTCTTCCTGGAACAGTGGTTCAGAACCAATACTTTCATCCAGATCATAAACTTTGTTGTTGGGATAGGTGGCAGCACCAGAGGAAGAAGAAAAAAGATCATTGTCAAAGGATGAAACTATCACTTAATGTCTAAAACCAAAATGCTGAAATGATTGCTTTCTTTTTTTTTGAGGTGGAGTTTTGCTCTTGTTGCCCAGGCTGGAGTGCAATGGCAGAATCTCAGCTCAGTGCAACCTCTGCCTCCCAGGTTCAAGCAATTCTCCTGCCTCAGCCTCCCGAGTAGCTGGGATTACAGGAATGCGCCACTGTGCCCGGCTGATTTTGTATTTTTAGTAGAGATGGGGTTTCTCCATGTTAGTCAGGCTGGTCTTGAACTCCTGACCTCAGGTGATCCACCCGCCTCAGCTTCCCAAAGCACTGGGATTACAGGCGTGAGCCACCATGCCCGGCCTGCTTTCTTAAGAACAGGAGAGCCATGCTGGTCCATCATAAGCTCCTTCATCAGAGCGAAGTGTTGAACTTACACAGCATTTGGGGAACACATTTTGAGGGAGTTGTGTTGGCTACAGAGGTGGGAATTGGTTAATGACAATTTAGAAGTGTGTACACTGAAATGAATTCAAAGCTGATTGACATATTCAAAGCACAATGCTGTCACTGACAATTAGCTTTCAGAAGTGTGTTCACTGAAGCAAGTTGTCATTGACCATAAAAAATGTTTAAAACATTTCAAGGTATGTACTTGTTATCATGACCATAGGACTGTCAGCCTTTTCCTAGGAATGTGGAGAGTTTTTATTGTCAGAAGAGAAGAGTAACCCCAGAAGAATCCAACGAGACAAATAACAGATGAGGAACCCCAAAAGATGACGGAGAAGGGGCAGCCTGAAAGTTAGGAAGAAAACAAAGAGTGAAATCACAGAACCCTAGGCAGTTAAGGTTTTAAAGGGGAGAATAACCTATAGTGGAAATGCTGCACAGAGGCAGATTGAGATACAAGTTGAAGAACATTCTGAAACTTTCAAAAAGGAGATCCAGTTACACTTGTTTATGTTTTTGTTTAACTTGTGGACAAAGACTTATAGACAGGTGCAAAAACTAAATCATCTTTTCCAACCCAGAACTCATGGTTTAGTATGAGTTTTGATACATATAAGAAGGCATATTATGATGAAAAAAAAAAAAGGAGGTCCACTGGTGACCTTGACCAGAACCAGTCCAATAGCAAATAAGCACAAAGGCAAATTGTAATGAGTTGAGGAGAATCAGAGAAGTAGAGAAAGATAATGGGTAAGTACTACTCTACTTTTGACAGAATTTAGAACTGTTAGTAGAAGGTAAGATATAGAAAGTAAAATTTGAATTTTATATTACAAAGCTGGTGTTAGTTGTCATTGGGGACATAAGCCTCTTAGGTTTTGAAGAATTAGAGGACCTTGACTATCCACAACAACAGCACCCAATATTCAAAGACCTTCTGCAATAACCACCAAACAGGCCCTTCAGTCTCACAGCTTGAAACCAACACAGCTTATTCCACATTACAGCAGCTCTGTTGGTTATAAAGTTTTTTCATGAACTAGGCCAAAGTTGTCTACAAGACCTCCACCTACTGCCCTATGTATTCATCCCACTGGTTAAAGACCCTCCCTGAGTTCTACATGGCACAGATTAAGTCATAAATCTGCCTAAACCCTTCAACCCTCCCTTATTCGATTCATTCTTCCCCCTTCCTCACTGGCTTGTTTAGCCTCTCTGTAATTGTTTTCCCAGTTTTCCAGCCTTCTCTCTCACGGAGCTTATCCAGAATGAGACAGACATTGTCACCATGCAAAGCCCAGTCTCTCACTATGATTTTCAGTGGATCAAAGACAGACAAGGGTAGCAGGTACATGAATTTTAATGAGGGGGGTTGACAGCAGGTCTCTGCCCAGAGAGGTTGAGAATGGTAATCACCAGCACTCAAGGTAGTCTTGGCCATTGCTTCTCATAAGACCAATCGGTATTTTCCTCTTTGCCGGAAATGCTTATCCTCATGTAGGACTGGAGGCAGCAGGCCTGATAATTTCTGCAATAGAGGTAGGGCTGTTCATTCTTTTTGCAAGAGGCCCTACAAATTCCACTGTTACCCATGCATCGAAGGATGTGGCGTTTGCCTGGCAAAAGAAAAAAAAAATACAAATAGTTAACTTCTACCTAGGAGTGACATAAATCTGATAAGTCGGGAAGCATCATAAAAACCTAAACGGGGAGCAGGGAGAAAACCTAAAGGGAAATAGTGACTTCTACTTCCAGAAAAAAAAGAGTCAATGTATTTTTCTCTATTTGTCCTGCTAAGTTCCATTTAAAACCCAGTGGGGCGGGGTGTGTGTGTGTGCGTGTGTGTGCGTGTGTGTGTGTGTGTACTCTGAAAGGTAAAGTAAAGAAGAACAAGGTAGGGACCTCAGGATCTAAGGAAGGACACAGTCATGGGTTTTCTTTTTGCCTCATCGATCCCAGACTTGTGCTGGAGAGACTGACAACCTGGAAATACAAACGAGTACAGACATAGAGTCCCAAGGAAAGTCTCCTCTCTCTAGCCAAAGAACCAGGAAAGGTCAACCCAGCAAGAAAGAACATTTTAGACAATAACCACTCAGCTCCAGGAAAAACCAAAGACAAAACTACACTCCCACTCATACATCCACCAAAGAAGGCTACGTGGGGAGCCTCGAACTCTGCCCTTTCCACTCTGTAAGGAGGTGTAACCTCCTAGAGTGGAACCCAAGTGGGGAGCGGGGACTATTATCACTGCTGAATGA